CCCCCCCCCGCCCCCCACCCCCATTTTTTTTTTCTTGATGGTTTCACAGGGTTTTACCTGCCCTGTTATAACCACCTGCGCCCCAGTGTGGTTTCGATCCGGTTCCCCAGGCAGCACCAGGAGCTGGCAGCAGCTGCAGGCTCCCAGCCTCAGGCCAGTGATTTCGGGGGGCACCGCATCACTTTTTTTTGGGCATTTTGGCCTTGCCTGGCGGTCGCCCATTGGGTGCCCATTGCCATGGAAACAGGGTTGGCATGGCAGCGCCGAACCAGCGCTGGCGCGGGTTGGCTCCAGCTGTCGGTTTCCCAACCGCCCCCAGAGTGTGGGAGTTGAACAGGCTGGAGGGCGAGAGGGGGGACGGTGCAGGCGACCGGGGTCTGCGGGGCCCCACTCTCACCCCGTGAGAAGGGGTTGAAACGAGGCAGCCTGTCCCCGAGTATCACCTTGTGTGTGCCCAGGTCCCCGCCTAGAGCCAGCCCAGCGGGGGCACCTGGCCCCCTCTCAGGGCAGGATCGTCCCAGAGGCAGTCCTGCGCAAGCCGCAGGCACAGCCGAGGGATGTTTCTCTCCCGGGTGAGGATCCGTGCACTGCCCGGGGCAGTTTGGCCAGTTATCTGGCCTCGCAGGATGTGTCCCTGTGCTGCAGGGCCTGCATGGGCATGGCCCAGGTCCACAAGGCTCCTGCCCTGCACCCTGACTCCCTCGGGCTACAAAAGTGTGTACGTGGCTGCACAGTAAACTGGAGCACAAATTTAAAACCTACTGTTTTTTTTCCTCCTAAGAGTGTTTCCTTCTAATCAGTGAGGACCTGAGCTGCCAGGCAGAGCTCACCACGATCCCTGAGGGAAGGCATGTTGGCTGGGAGTTGCCATCTCAAGTGTCACCAGCTCCCTGAGAGTGAGCAAAGAACCAGACAAGAACCAGCACATGGCTATTTACTTCCAGGCTGGTCCCCCCTCAGCCTTCCCTGGGAAAAGCTCGAAGGCTAAAGGGGAAGGTACCAAGCCCAGGCCAAGGCCTGTTAGAGCAGAAGCAGAGCATCAAAGACCCATCAGTGCAAAGGCAAGTGTGGGTAAGATGCCAGCTGCAAATGCCTCACGGCTACAGCACAAATAAATACAAGCCCAGGGCAGCCGCTCACTGCCACAGAGCCACCAGGTCTGTCCTTGTTGTGACTCCTCCTCGGGAGGAAAGTGCTGGGGCTGAGCACACCCCAGCCATGCATGTCCTGTGTCTTTTAGCCCTCCCAAGAGCTCACTGAGCATGATTTCACTGTCATGTGAGGGCACAAGTGGCTTCAGGGAAGCCCTGAGAGATGTCAGCGTCATTTAGGTTACTTCCACAGGGAAACTGAGGCAGGATTTGCTCTGCAATGACTCTGTCAAACTTCTCTTTGCATGGCATCGTTACTGAACAAGCAGTCTTCCTCCCAGCCCTGACTGTTCCCCGCAGGATGGCTCTGTCCTCACTCTCTCTGTGCCATGACGAGCAGCACGTGCAGTGACGAAGGGATGTTTCACAGCCACCTCTGCCTCCACACACAGCCTGTTGGGATGATCTCTGCCCCTGCTACCTCGTCCTCACGGCCCTCCCACCCTGGCCAGGTGACACATGTCCCAGCCAAACCATCCCCACACTCAGCTTACTTCAACAGGGAGAAGTTTCCCCTCGTGCCTAAACCTCCCACCAGCCGTGGCCACTCGTCCTGGGGGTGCGGGGACTGGCACCACCGCTTCCCTGCTCATTTTACCTAACAGCCAGCCCAAACCCCTCAGCCCTTCACGCAAGCCACCACCACCAATCCCTGCTCTAGCTCAGCTTCTGACATTCAAAATCCTCAGATATGAAACTAATGAGGTGACTTTGTGCCCCAAAACCAAATGACAGGAGAAACTCATGAAGGCCTTGGTAAATTTAACTGTCTGCTCTTGAGCAAATGAGGATTTGAGGTGATGAACACAGGCCTCAGCCTCGTTAGACGCCTCTGACAAATGGCTGACAGCTCCACCATCTCCTGGAGCAACTCTTCCTTTACTGGAGGTTTTCCAGCCAGATCCTTGCCTGGTCCAACTGTGCTTAGCACACGCCACCCTTCATTCCGGCAGCACTCAAAAAATTGGACGCAGCTCCTTGGTTGGGAGGCAGCTTCCCTCGCCATCCGCAGGAGATGGCCCCAGCTGGGCCAAGCCGTGCCACCGTGCTGGAGATGGCTCTCCCGGCCAAACCCATCACTTCAACAGCACCACCGTGCAGCAGGGGAGCGAATTTCCTGCACAAACACCATTGCCAAGAGATATTCCCATCCCCAGACCCACCAGGAGAGGATTGAGGATGGACCCAGCGTGTGACGTGGGCTCATGGCGATCCTCCCAGCCGCCCAGTGACGGTGCAGGGTGTCACGGGGTGCCACGGTCAGCCCTTCAGGATGCTGAACCACACACCAGGCCAGGGCAGGCAGTGGGACCACTGAGGAGAGGGAGGGTGAAAAAGCATCAGCTTTTAAACCCAAGGGTTTGGCACTGCGTG